ATGTGACGAATGTATATCGGTGCTTGCTGAACACTCCAAACGGTTCAGCAGAGAATGATCAACTACGACCACCACAACGATTCCTTGGTAAAGAACATGAAATAAAACTAGCAAACACCTCACTGGTTGTTTTTAACAGACGTAAAGCTGGACAAACCATTGGCTCCTTTTTCGCAGGGCTGTCACTACGTATGTTGTTTTACCCTTGTGTTTAGAAAGCCGGTTGAAAGTATACCAATCAACACTCAGTAGAATACGTGAGATAGTACGTCTCAATATAGTTACGCTACTTTCAGACCTGACGCCTTTGGAACAGTGAGGGTGTCCCGAAACCACCAAGGACAGTTAAACTTTCCCCAATTCCCCAGCATAAGGAATAACTAAAGAACCATTCGAACACGGCAACTTTTCGGTGCATTGCTGCTAAGCAATCCAAGGTAGGCATAAGGACTGAGATGCCGCCAGGTTGCGGAAATCGAGAAACCTAGGTTTTCGCTCAAACCATGGACTTCTGGTCAGTGACCTTGGGACTTGGCCGCTGAGCAATCTCAAGCTCTATGCAACCTATTTGTTTAATAAATGACAGACAGTAGGATACACCGTTGGGCTGCTCACATATAAGCAAGAGAAAACAAAGGAGTCTGTTTGGAGATATATGGAGCCCTTTCCCCATCTCCCAAGGAACTGAGTGGAGGTCATGGAGTGAGTCATGCAGTGACAGTAGAACGGGTTCATAAATGCAGCCAGATATGAAAAGAATGTAAACACCACAACGTTTCTTATCGATGGCTCCGACATGGGGATTTCACCCTCAAATCTGGGCGAAATAAAACCCAAACCTCATAAACGCGGAAAACTCAGCTGAAGTGATAAAAAATTCATCAGTTAGCAGCTACGTGGATGTGCGTCCACCGGAAAACGAAAATATAACTTCCCTAGTCAAAAAGATCACGCCGGCGTCTTTCCAACCACGGCATCGGTCGCTGAAGTGTCCCTGCCCAGTGACCTTGAAAAGACGATTCAGTCACAGAGTCAGTAGTGGTTCTGCATTAAAATTGTAGGTTTCAATACGTACCCCCACCCCCTGTTTATAATTATTAAGCCAAATAGGACGATTTAGTGACAGTCGATTGGGTGGGTCCCCGCCTCCAATGCGTTGACAGCGTCCCCTTACCTTTCTTACCCTCGGTAGCGGATGGAACCGTTGCAGCTTAATGAACAATTTAGGACTGAAAGAGTTGAAATGAACCACAGCACTTGTAGCTTGAACTACGCAGATCCTTAAACTGGGCCGCAATCAAACATTCGTAACCACATCCACTGAATGTAGAGTGGATGTTCAGCGGGGTCCACTGTTGGTTAAGGGAACCGGTGAATTTGCGATAAGGCAAAACAAAAGACAAGCCGAGAACGACTAACCTTTTAACGACCCACCAACCACGGATGAGGACTGCCACCTTCTGAAGATGCTGCAAAACAGCAGCGTTTGTGACCGAATGTGGATCACTGAAGCGTTCACGAACACAAGCCACGAGTTTGTTGAACCGAATCACATGCACTGACAGTTGAAAGCCACGATAAAAACGGTAACAGAGAGTTAGAACGTTGCTCAAATTCAGGATTTAAAGCAGAAGAATTAACTTCATTGGCCATCTAAACGAGTGAACACACACGGTCAAGCTGATCACTGCACGAAGAAGACTGTCCGAATAGGACGTACGGTGCTGTGTACTGTACACAGGAGAAGATTTATTATAGTTTTGGAGTTCAACAACTATTTGTAAACTGGCTAGTAATTCATTTGAGACTGACGGTAACCCATTGGCTATATTGTTTTTCAATCGAATACGTAGCACAAGGGTGCCGGAACCCAATATGTTGAAGTCATGCTCTCAGATTTAACATCAATCCCGAATCAACCTGATAATTGACACACTAAGTCCAGCAACTCATCAAGTTGAACTTTTCCAAATATTCTGCATGAAGTGCGACTACCCATGAGACCGCTATGAGGGGAGATGAGTAGATTGAGGTAAAAAAAAATTAGGTTTTGCTGCTAGGTCACATAAGGTTGTCCTAACAATGGTGAAGACTTGATGGCAAAAACTCAACCACGATGTAGGATTCCATCTCTACAAAGTCTTCCAAAAAACGAGCGAATTTTACGGATCGCACCAGAAAACGGAGGCATGTTAGAAAAGCGATTCAGTAATGAACGATTCTGTGAATTTCTTAAAATTCGAAAAGAAAGAAAGTGAATTCTAACGAGCGGAAATATTTCAAGACCTGATTGCTGTCTCAGTTCCACATTCAGAACACACTCATGAAAAATCCCCCTGGAATGGCTCGCACACCAGGTCATAGCGGACTCCAATTTTGGTGCTTCCAACACTCACTCAAACTATCTGAACACAATATGACCACGAATCTCTATTGTCATCAGTTAGTAGTCCAATCAAGCAACGTTACAGACCAAATACGAGCAGGGACTTACGTACCTCATCCTGAAACCCTAAACATATATCAGCAACATCCAGTATTTCCCTTGTGCAAAATCATGAGCTGTTTACGTTCGACCCATTTTAGTCTCATCATCAACAACGACAAATAACATCACTGTTCAACACTGATGCTTCGGTGCCGCACAACTATGATTCATTTGAAAGCCTTATTTTGAACAAGAGAATAAAACTGGGCAGGAAAGTAAATTAGTGCTAGTCTACCACATTCAATCCGAAATGCTTACACCTCCAGAGATAACCTGGATAGAAACTGACAACAAGATCGCCACTGACATCGGTTGGTAGAGGTGTCTTGCAGCGTCTCCAAGCAGGCGCAGTGGGGACCACGCGGTTCCCATCCTGGTAGTCGAGCAGCAGCACCCAAACGTTTTGTAGTCTCTTTCATGCCCCTCTGCTAGGTCAACGGTTGGCCACCTCTCTGAATTGGGTGCGGAAAAAAGCACTCCCTTCGGCATATGACGGTTCGGCACACGCAATACATGCCCTGATAACTACAGCTTCTGGTTCTGGACACATTCTTCAACAAAAGTCTCCTCTGAACAGCCGAAGACTCGCTTTCTAATCACCTCACTACAAACACGAACCCATGCGAGCTGTAGTTCTAAGACAATTGTCGAAGACCTGAAGACGTCTCGATTCTGCTGATCGAACAGACCAAGTCTGACAGGTGTGCAACAAAACATCTCACACTGTAGCCCGATACACACTTCCCTTCAGCTTCAGAAATATACCACTGACGCCATAGGTGACTCAAAGCGGCAAACGGAGATTCCTACAGTGACCTCATCTGTCACACTACAATCAGTCAGTGCAACCCCTACAAGGCTGGAATCCCACTTGCTGCTCTCGAGTCAGTGTTTCACGACGAAAAACAAATGACACCAACAGTCTCGTTACGACCAGAGTCAAACTGATCCCCCTGTGGTTACCGCACCCACCTCGAGTCCGTTTTTTGAAAATGGGTACCATCAACGATTCTCCCCGGTTGTCCGGGACAGCATCCTAAATGCACGCAAACAGATCAGAAAAACGCTGACTGAGGGCTTCACCGCCTCCTTTCAAAAATGCGGTTGTGGGTCATTCGGACCAGGAGCTCGGTGGCGCTGTAATCTGTAGAACTTTCAAGTACCCATCATCCTTAGTATTCCGGACCTACTGAAATATACACAATTTTGTGTGCTCTATCGAAGCTTCCATGTGGACAGACTCCACAAAAATTGCGGAACAATGCTGGGACACCGGTGAAAGTGAACCCAAGCGGCTTTATTCAAACTAGTTATACGATAGTAATAAGAAAAATAATCGTTCAGCTGTAATACCCTGCCTAACTGCCATGCCGCCCGAAGGAAGCATGAGGGCTGGGATACTGCCAGGTTGCCCAAGCCTAGACAGGGGAAGTCGAGAGGCACAGGTCGGATTCGAACCACGAACCTTACGGTCCTTGAGCTCGTGCCTTAACCTTAGCCATCCTGTTCCCTTATACGGTAGTGCAGCACCAGTGTTCTTTACTGTTAGTGCCGTCAATGGCAACGACGCCAAAGAAGAACAGTAGGCGATGGGAGTACTTGCGCTGCACATTCCATTGGAGAAACACAAACGAATGAATTCAACTGATGCTCCCCCAATTTACCATGCGGATGATTGTTTGATCCGAATATATTATACAGCTCATTAGATATGAACGACGATAATTCCGAAAACATTCCTACCCAATGTCGATCTGGCTGATGGGTGGATTTTGCTATGGATGGATGAATAGTATATAAACGTGAAACAACTGCAAGTCAGTAAGACTATCTCGGTCTCCAAGTTGTTCCATGTCAGATACGAAAGCACTGGATGTAATACGATTATCTAGCCATGCAATAACAAGGTAAACGAACCACAAACAATGCAGATAATCTCTACTCATTACTGAACATCCGACTTCAACAAATTCATCCAAAAGAGAACTAACCTTTCATCATGATGCTCTGCAGCAGCTCCTCCATAGTGGGCGGATTCACGGGTTCAACGCGACCATGCCTGAACATAAAAACAGCGGGTACATAATAAATTAGCACTGAACACGAACTCGTCACACCGTTTTCCCAGGTTGTAACAATTCATGTGCGCAGATTCACATGGAGTAGAAAAATCTACCTACAAGCAACCTCTTTTGAGATCAGATACATCGAACCGCCATGCTACGTTGTTCGCTCTTTAGGAGCCTCGAAGTTTATCACTCCATACGATGGTAGTTCTCTCTTTGAAAACATTTCTTGTCCCGTCTGTAGTGTGACGGGATTTCGGTATTTTGAATAGAGATTTCGTCCTGAAGATGAAGCCAATTAATGCTGAAAAGCCGAGAACTACTGTACAGCTGCTTCAGCAGTGCGAAGATCACGAAACTCCAGCAGAAAGTTTTAAACCGTGACCCCCCGGCTGGTAGTTTGAACACTTAACCGAGCGGCAGATCAGCAGTGTGATTAGCCAGCACTTAGACAGTATACAGATCCACTCATTCTTACTCCCCACATTTACTGACTCCCAAACATGTTGAATGGAACTACCATGATTGGCTCATAAATACTAAAGTCAGGTGTTAGTTCACGACACACATATCACTAACAACAAAGAAAGAAAGCAAACGTCACTGTGACTACACCGAACCGATTTTGAGATGGAATAGGGATAAAACAAGGGTTAGAAATGTATGCGGATGGGTTCATGGAGGGGAATACAATACCAGCTAGACTAATGCGTTGTGGTGCGGAAAAAAGGCGTAAATACAAATCCAAAAAGTATCGAATATAATTAGCACGTGCTATGGCCTGACTGAGAGAAATATCGTCTCGATGGCAGAAACAAATAGCCCACATCCCTTGTAGTGAGAAAACAGACACCACAACTGTGCACCATGTCAACAACACGAAACCTTGCTAATGAGCCTGAAAAAAACAGTAAACGGCTTCAACTTATGTGAATGCAGAGACAGGTACTGACGGGGTGCCATCTACACCCGATCTGAGTAATGTTTGAAACAATGTGTGGTGAAAAAGTAACGGATTGCTTGCTGAGTGCAGTTACAATTGGAGGGTGGTGTCACCTTTCGATAGGCTCACAAGCAGGACCGTCCCTGAAGTCCGACAATGTCTCTCCACGCACAGTAAGCTGGAAGGCAAGGATTTCGAGGCGCTACCACCCATTACGGTTAGAAAAAGATGGCATCGAGCAAGAGAGTCTGTATAAGCGACGAGAAATGGAAAACTTACGTGGTAGGAACAGGAGCTAGTGACGACAGCAGTGTTGTTGTATACGCATCTTGACGAGGACCACTAGTTCCTCGAGCTGTCAGCTCATTATCTTCATAGGGATAGAGCAGTGGTATACGGTTTTCGAAGGCATCACTGGGCTGGACGTCACAGATAGAGGTAGCCGATAAATAGACAACTAGACTTGACAGGAATAATGACAATGTGTAAAGCTACTTAAGAATAATCTTGTCATTAGTCCGCTGGAATTAGACTACAGTGACACTGTGGAGTATGGATCTCTGTCCAGTTGCAGATAGATATGTAATGGATGAAAAAGCAGAAGTGAAACCCAGAACTCGTGAACTGGTTGATCCAAATGATAATTTTTCTACAATTAGGAAAAAGTGAGCGGGACTTATTGTTAAGTGGCACTGGAAAATTGAAATGCGGGATTGAAACAGGGTTGCAAGTGGCAATCTCGCAGCCGCCCGTACTAAAGACCGAAAACCGAACGTGGTCGTCGAAATGCAGAGAGAATGGATGGTGGTACCCTCTATCATATGACAGCATATCGATCTCTTTTCGCGAAAAACTCACATGACCTTTTGTTTCACAACTGGCGCCATTCAACTAGTGAATATTACTGAACTCGTACGGATGTTATTACACCGAAAGCACATGTATCAGGATTAAATGAGTTAAGCAAGCCTAGTTGCAGGATGGGAAAATAGCATGTTCAGAAGCCAACGGCTCAAAAGTCAGTTTGCACCGAGTGTGCCTTCAGTGAGTGTGGCAAGTCCTGTGCCTATTGATGCAGGAGGGAGCCATCGGATGGGACAGCAACTAGCCAGTCAGGAAGAACATCATCACTATCATCGACAGTTGGACAGCAGTGTTCAACACCGATGCTTCATTGCCGTAAGGGGAAAACACACCGTCTACCTACGGAGTAAAATGGAATCCTTTATTTGTGACCATCTTTCGGATGCATAGCTACCATGCAACCGTAGGAACCAGTGATAGGTTTTTCTAACCTAGGCAGCAGCGGTCGAGAAACCAGGGTGATTTTCAAGCAACAAACTCACCGGCCCGTGGCCTGCACCTTAGTCACTGAACTCCCTAGAAATCTGATAGAAGAACTACAATCCCTCGACATTCTGTGCTCACGATTTTGTGAGCAATCTGACCAGTGTGCATCGTTGGGGCTGACCGACCTCCACACAGTAGAGTTGCTATAAGGTAATTTAAACTTCAAAAAGATCCGCTTGGTGGAGAGATTAAGAAACGCAGCACCGCAATGGTGATCGAGCCAAGATAGAACATCCCGCTGACCGAGAAGATCGCTTCATGCTTCCACTTGCTTGTGTGAAAGGGATTACGATACGTTTCTCGAGGAACCCACCGACACCCCCGAGTACAACATCGAGATGGGGGAAAACTTATTTTCACAGAATAGTTATTTTTATGAAAGACCGGCCTCCAATTCGAAAAAGCTGAACAGCGAGTTGTGTATATGAATATAGTCTACGACGAACAAAGTTCCCTTTCATGAAGTGCAAGAACAAATATGAGGCACTCACACTTCTGATCAGCCACCCATCGCCAAACGGCGGTCTCCAGCCATCAACCGAAAGGTTGCGAGTTCGAATGTCGCTGAAGTTTCATGTTATGTGCATTGCTGATGATTCTCAATGAGAATGGGACAGCTTTACAGTATTTTTCGACTCTTCAACATAGACTGACTCCACCAACAGGATACCTATATTCTAATATGGATAGGTCACCTCTCTGTGTTGCAAAGTTCCGGCTTCTCATGAGACATCTATACGCACTTTCCAAACAGTGCACTCAAAGTCGAAAACATAACCTACCAGCGGGATGATAGAGTATACGAGGTAGGTGCCTAAAACAAGACCGAAAATCATGGGTTACTTTTTCCACTGTCTTCTTAAAGCATGTAAAGGCCCTTACAAGCTATTAAACGCTCCCGTAACTTGATCCAACAAACTTATGGTTTGCAAGTACCCGAAGTTGCGTCTACGATTCTCAAAATATAGTCATTCTTTCTGTCTCGAATACCTCCCGTTTGTTTGAAAACACAGACACACTTCGGAATCATTCTACGGAAAAAATCGTTCAGCTGTAGCACCCTTTGGGTGCCTAACCGTCATGCCATCCGAAGGAAATACGAAGGCTGGGATTCTGTCAGGCTGCCCAAGCCAAGACAGGGGAAGTCGAGAGGCACAGGTCGGGTACGATCACGGACCTTCTGGTTAGTAAATTCGCGCTATAACCGCTTGGGTTTTCTCGCCCCCCCCCATCATCACCATCATCATCATCGACATCATGAAATCAGTGTTCAACACCGATGCTTCACTGCCGTACAACCATGACTCATTTGAAAGCCTTATTGTAAAGAAAAGAATAAAGGTGGATGGGGGAGGGACTTAGTGCTAGCTTAACACAATCATTCCGAGGTGCCTACGCCTCCAGACATTCACTCAGACAATCTGGACAGAAACTGACAACAAGAACATCACTGACATCGGTTGGCAGCCATATCTTGTAGTGTCTCCAACCAGGCACAGTGAGGATCACGCGGTCCCCATCCTGGAAGGCGAGTAGCACCGACAGCACCCAAGCGTTTCGTGATCTCCTTCATACTCCTCTGCCAGGTCATGGGTTGGCCACCTCTCTGTTTACGCCAC